ATAATGTATCGATACCTAATATATTTTTACACATCCACTCTAACTTCAAATACGGCAGGATTCGATCATCTCAAAAATATGAGTGGCAGATAGGATGTATGATATATTATATAGACAGAAATATCAGGAAAAAAAAAGAAATTATACTTCCGATACTCAAGTGCTAATTATGTATATTACAACGATTTGTAGGATATAATTTAATAGCGAAGCTAAGTGTTGAGACACATATCTTTATTATGCAGTCAATAACTTGATCTCTTTTTCCAGGTTCAGAGGATTCATCCAACCGACTCTGATGGACATAGGATCGGAAATTGGTACAGTAGTATCGAAGACAATGAATTCACGATTTCGCAAATAGTTATTGATAACTCTAGAAGCTTTGTGTGGATCTTCTTCTATGTAATATCTTATAATTCGTGCAATATCTTCTGTAGACCCCCCACCATCAAATATTACAAGATGGGTTGAATTTTCATGAAGGATTTTTGACATTTGAGTGAATTTATGTGAAATATATATTGCGGAAATATTTCTATGGTGACCTCTGGTAAAAAATGGGATGATACGATTTTGAATTGACTGGGGTTCAGTACACACATCCTCAAAAATATATACTGTATGTCTTTTTGGATTTTTGTACTGTTTCAGATCTGGGATTTTATCAGGGGTAATTGCAATAAATGTAACGTCCTCATAGTACGGTTTGGAAGGATCTGCTATTTTCTTATAGAAGTTTCAAAGTAATTGGTATTTGGGTTCATTGGGATGGCACCCTATTAGTACAATATTATTGCAACGTATATGACGTTCGCCAATTTTCTCTGATTTTTCTTTGAGATCATAGTATTTATCTCTGGAAAATAGATATACCACCATATTGGTTTTACCAGTGTTTGATCTTCCAAAAACCCCCATATAGAATGGCCACTTTGGGGCATCTTCATCATCTAAAGATTTTTTTGGTGGTTTAACTTTGTCAATATGATATATATAATAGTACTTCATTCTGATATAATTACTGAGACAAAATATTAGTCACAATTCTGAATATATTAATATTTTTTCTAGCTAAAGTTATTGGCGTTATAACACTTACACAGCTTCATTAAATGTGTACAACATCATCTAAGATTTTTTTTGGTGGTTTGATTCATCATAGTATATACATAATTCTGATACTAACTATATTTTTTTGCAAATTTTTCCTAGAAATGAGTATTGTGAGATTGTAAATAAGGACTGGGGAAGTCCCGAGCATGTCGATCAATCGGAACCAACTTACTGCGGCAGCCACGTGACAATGACATCATTTTCTATTTTTATCTTAATATTTTGTGTAACAACTACGCCACATACTGCGTCAATGTTACACATCACATCATTTCTATTTTTAACTTATTTTATGACATAATTATTTACTTTTAATTATTAATTCAATTATTTGTAATAATGACTCATAGGTTTAGTCATTATGAGTCATAGCATTAGTAATTAACGATTAGTAAGCTAGTATTACAGAAAATAGGATTAATAAGCATATATTATTGGACAAAATATTGTAAAGGTCATGTTATTTGTAATACCTCAAGAGATATAAATAGGCTTGGTTTTAGACCAAGTGAGATTCATCATGCTCATGATACAATAATAATAATAATATAATAACCTTGTAACAGAAATATTATCACTAATAAAGACACATAACATCTTTACAATAAAACATTTGAACTCTTAATAAACCTCTTGATAAACCTTTGCTGAAAAGCATACACCACCTAAATTAAGACCATACTAACTAAGGGACGCCTTAGTCAGACAGTGGAATATTTATTGATTATTTTTAGGCCTTGCCAGCAGTACTTCCATTAGTACTGTAGAGAGAGAGATTGCGCAAGAGAGAGAGATTTTTTGGCTCTGAGCTGTGTGCCAATACAGGGAGATTTATATATTGGACTTTTTATTTATTTTATCTTATATATTTATTGGACACATCACAAGCTGTATTTGAATTTACATGCTTGCAATATAAAAGAGGGAAATTTAGACATAAATTTTATAAAAGTTAAAGCACATAAACAAGAACACCATAACAATGTAGTATGGTCAAGACCTTGTTGAAGACGTTCAGTATATTCCCATATTTCATATACACGACAAGCACCAATATGAAATTTTTCTGCCATTTTCTTTGATGCATTTGGTATTTTTCCTCTTGAATCTCTGATTTCCTTAATATCAGACTCTGATAATTGGGTTGCATTGGATCGATAGAAGGTTTGATGAAGACAAGTAACCATTTTTATGTTAATATATATTTTAGAAAAAAAAACATCGATATTTTTTCAATACATATTAGTTTTGTAATAAATCAATATTCATTGAATCTTATTGATATGTATTGTTATAGTACCAATACATATTGATATAAAATTAATACTCATTGTGTGATACCAATACTTACTGATACGTATTACTATTATCATATCTATAAGTATCAATACCTATAGATTTTTTAAAAGTTTTTTTTAATAAAGTATTTATTATTTAATATGACCAATGTGCGTACATTACGAGATATCAATAAAGGCCATCGACTTGGTAGTATGTATGAGGAAGAGCTGGAAAACAAGTTATACACTGCTCTCAAATCTAAAACCGAAGTCAATGATCTTAGCGAGAAATTACAGAATAAATACTCTAAACAAGTGAAGGATTTTAATTGGGAGAGAAAGGGATGGAACCGGGAAAGAAAGCAATGGGAAAGTGCATTTAGTAATGTTACTAGTGATAAACAGAAGTTACATACCTATGCTTTAGAACTTATTGGTGAGACTAAGCAGTTGAAAATTGAAAACACTAACCTTACCTCCGAGAATATTCGTAAAGATCTTTCTCTTGCCAAATCCAAGGCTGAGAATGCTACAAAATCCAAGAAAATCAAATCACTCAAGTCTATGATCAAGATATTGGAAGGTAAGTTGTCTTCAGCCCAGAAAGATGTGATTTTGATTCAAAGCGACTCATCGAAAAAAGAAACTGAGATTGCGTCTCTCAAATCCAAAATAGCTGAATTAGAAAATATAAAGAGCGAATTGGAATCGAAGGTCAATGAGCTTGAGTATTTGAAATTGGAGGCTATATCGAAACCCATAGTTGGTGGAGATGACGAGGGACAGAGCCTCATTGTTCCCACAATAAAAAATATGCAGAGCGAGGAACAAAGTTCCATAACCAAGTCTGAAGATATATCTACAGTATTGCAAAACAGACCGTTAGGCGATTCTTCAAATCATGACACTTACGTGTCTAGTGAGGAATCAGAGATTCGAGGCTATGCCTCATCCAGTAAAGATCTCAGTCAATATTTTCTATGCAGAAAAAATGATACCGAGATTATTCCCAAGGTAAGTGACGAAATTGATATTAGCAAAACTAACAACAATGCACTTCAGGAAATACCGAATATGACCCCTTACCTTGCACAGCTGGAAAATAATATGTCCTCTTTGATTGAATTGAATTCCCAGATGGCACATAGTGCCGAATCTCTGATTCCTCCAATAGGAACAATTCCTATTGTGGCAAGTACTTTGATGTCACCTCTATTGGCATATATCTTTCTTACCTTGTTAATTATTGCAGTTATATGGTTTGTTATATTGAGACGCACATGGAATATAAGTAGGCTCAAAGAGCCATTGCTCCACAATAAAAAAAGTAATCAGTTGCAGAATACGTGGGTTGGATAGTTTAGTATTAGAATTTCTAGATATTTTAGTTAATTATACCTTGGAGTATCACTTTTTTTCAAACTTGAGAGAAAAAAAGAAAAAAGAGCATGAGAGTATGGACGAGGTCGCTTTCTTGGAATATAAATGAAACTTTGAGGCTAAAATGAAAGTTCCTACTACTCCGCACAAAAAAGAATTGAAAAATAAATCTTTAGCAATCATTGAATATGCATAATCGTTATAAATCTTTCAATAAATCAAGCATAAGGTACTAAGATAATATCATCTAGTTTTAGTAATAATTTCTGAAGGAGAGAGATTGTTACATTTAACTAGTTATTCATCTCAGGTAGGAGGTTTTTGTCACCTCTTACAATAAATAAGAGAAAAAATTCAAATCAAAAATTAATATTTTGATATCTAGATCATATAAAGAGGGTTTTTGGGTCGCGGGGTCCCAGTCATTCAATTTATATGCCTGTCAGATCGAGATAAAATTTCTATGTAAATGCTTCCGATATATGAGGTGATGTACAACTGCCTATCAATTATCCAAACAACTTGAAGAATTAAACATTATAGCAAGTGAAAAGACTGCCAGGCGAACTTTACACACTAAAAATATTTATGGTAGGAAGGCTGTAAAGAAGCCATTAATTTCTGCAAAAAAATAGGAAAAAAAGATTATTTTGGTGTCATGCAAGAAAAAATTGGGGAAACGAATGGGATAAAATTATATTCAGTGATGAAAGTAGGTTCTTACTATTTCAAAACGATTCAAATGATTGGGTTTGGAGAATGCCAGGAGAAAGATATAAAAAAGAAC